AAGCCTTGCACATGGAGCTAAAATATTCCCACTTTCCCTTTGTTGTCTCAGCATTATACAAAACTAAAGTTTCTAAGCTTCTTGGTATTGTTTGATGTGTCTAAACCATTTTTAGTATCCTTTCAATTATTTAGAAACACAGAATCCCTTTAAAGCTCTCCCTGATATCTGCCAGTATTTATAATACACTTGCAGAACAGAATTCGTAGCTAGCTGTGCATTATGGAGTTTCAGTCACCAGCCAAACTTCAGAAACGTTCATTACAGCTTTCTCCAAGTTTTATTATTAAGCAAGCATTTATCTTCCAACTTCTAATTACTGAAAAGCAATTAAAATACTATAAAAATTATAAAGTGCTAGTTGATATATTATTCACTTGACAGTAACAGAGTACAAACTTTTTTAAAGTACTTTTGTCCATATGTAGAAACAACAGCTGTTCACTTATTATGCGTTTCTTTGGAATTTTACAAGCAGCACTCCACTGACCCAAACCATACAAAAATCTATAATAACCAACTGGGCATTTGCTCTGGAATTCAGTTAGGTGATTTTACTTACATCAAATTTCTTCTCTGCTTATTCCCATTTTGTTCTTTCAGCAAACAGAATTGATAGCTGAGTGCTTGAACATGCACTACAAGAGAACTTAACAAATGGAAAAATTTAAAAAGAAGGTGCAGTATGTACCTATGCAACTATAGTTTGGCTGAGACAGCTCAAAAGAAAGCTGAATGATGGGGAATTGTAGACTATATCATATTTTCACTGACAGCATTCACCAGCTATATGCCCCAGAAAAGAAGCTCACAGCAATACTACCCAAAATAAGATTTTATATTTATTTATTTTTTACAATATCATTTTAAAACTTTGTTGTGCATACATTTTTCCAGCTTCCTTATTTCATTGCACTTAAAAGTTTCAAAACACATAAAATATATCCCTTTACTAAACATTTTTGTTCTCGGGTTACAAAAAAGTTTTGACATTTCACAGTCACCACGCTTAAGTACATTGATCCAAACAATTTTTATCCAGAAGACTCTCTTCATTGTTTGGAATGCTGAGCCCAGAATATAGTACATTCCTTGCTTACAGTCACTGTGCCAATAAAGGAAGAAAATGGCAAAATTAAACTGAAATACAATGGAACCTCAAAGTAAAGTGGAGGCTGACGGGGAGAAGCCTCCTTCAAGTATAATGTAGGTAGAATTTGGCAGAATGATTGAAGAGGTATTTGGCCACTGTCTATGTCATCTTCATACGACAGGAAAGAAAATTACAAGTGTGCAATTTTCACATAACTCACAACATAAGATACAAAACTGCAAGAGTGCATTAAGCAAAAGGGCAAAGGACTAAAAGAAATTAGTAGGATTGTGCTGTATGAAAGACAAGTACCTGTAAAGTTCAGGCAACAACCTACAAAATATTTTATTTCAACATGTCACTTAGAGAAGTACCTTAAAGAACGTTCTTATAGAACAAGTACCCTGGACTGCTAGTTTTAAAACTGACGATGCAACTCTCTTTATGGACATTGGGCAAGTACTGAAAAAGAACTCTTTGATTATTTGATAAAAATAGAATGATATTGGTAAATTACGATTAGGAAGAAGTTAGACATCTCAAAGACTACTGGATGATTTTGATAAAGAAATTTTTGAGTTACAAGCTGTCAGATATTTACTGTAAAGGGGAATTTCCCATGAACTGGAAAGGGCAGACAGAATCGGGTTCTAGAATGTTTTAAAATCAGGGGAGAAGGAAAGAGAGTAGATAAGCTAAGTGATCTAATTAAATGTGTCTCGAGCAATTTCTGTAGTGCTGATTTGAAAATTTGGACAATGTTATCATTGAATATTTACAATCGGATAGCAAACATTGGTCATGTGGCTGTAGCAGCTCCATAAGACAAGTGAATTTCCTCTCTTATCTCAATTTTTATTTGCCTAAAAGCTCTTCCAGTTCTGGCCTAGGTGAGATAGTTGGTATGAAAGTCTTGAGTTTTCCCCATTTTCTTTAGGCAAGTTATTCTAATAATTTCCAACACAGTTACCAACATTGTTGAAATAGATGGTGGCCCAGTGACGATTTTCCAACCCGCCGCTTTCCCAAGCTATAACCTTAATTTCCAGTAACCTTTCACCTTTAAGATATATGTAACTGGTTTACTTTTAAGCATGATTTTCAACCTTGTCTTGGGTTATAAAACTGTTGACGCAGCAGCAGCAAAGTGAATTATTTCTAGACAATACTAAATTCCATATTGCAATTTCTTTTTAAAAACAAAAAATAGTATTACTACACACCTGGAAATCAGTTACTGAAGTGTGAATAGAATTTTGCTGTCCAGTTTGCATAGCTCTCAGCTAGGCTTGGCAAATGTTCTATGCTGCAGCCCAATAATAAAGCACATGGGGCAAGATCCATCCTTCACTTAAATGCATGAGCAGAAAACACTTTTGCTTACCCACAGGAGCAAAGCAACAGTTCCAAAAGTAGCCTTAAAGTTTATAGGATGTCAGTCTGGAGGGCTTCCGTTAGTGGGAGGAGGCTTTTAATGGGGGGGGGCGCTAGGGGTTGCCACTCACTTCTGTCTGAATCCTGTCTACTGGCTCTCATAAAATATATTCATCTAGATAGGGCATTGCTATTTTGAAAGGATTATTAAATAAAACAATCTAAATGTACTATACAGTTCTAAGTTGGTGAAAACCATTATTGAGTGTATCTTATAGAGATGGGGGCAAGTAAAAGTTCAGAATAAATTGGCTTAATTTCTAAATGAATTCAAAGAGTTTGTTTAGTTCGAATTAAACACAACTTTTATTTAACAATCCAGAGTTTAGCTTTGGTCTCTGGGAATTGCTCGGTAGCAAATACAGGATTACTTAAGCAAAGCTTTTGAAAGGGATGGTGCAATTTGGGTTATTGATTCAGTCCGTCTGAACAATAGCAAGAGTTTGTTTTTGTTTGTTTTGCTACTTTAAGTGTTTCACTGCTGCCTCTTTTAAAAACAAAGTGGGCATTTCCAGGATCACTCTTAATGATGTTACTACTGAGATATATATATTGAGATATATTATATATCAAATTAAGCAGCATTTGAAATTGTATCACCAAATCTGGATGAAGTATTGTAGAGTACAACACTGAAAATTAATGTTTCATTTAAATGTTTCAAAAATATCATTTTTTATGACATGATAAAATGTAGCAGTCTAGATACTATTCTAGGAAGAATTGGATGCACTCAGAACTACTGGTCATTCTGAATCAGTTTGATGTACAGATGTTTTCTGGAGCTGCAACCTAGGTTATTATCCTATGTAGTGTGTTCTTATGAGTTAAAATGAAAATCCAATTTAAAGTTTTCCTGCACTGGCAAAAGTCCTTTTATTTTGGTTGGTCCAATGAGATTGTTTGCCACTAAATACCTTCTTTTCACATATGGCACTGGAAGTGGGAAATGTGTTCAGGTTCTGTGCAAAAGTATACAAACAGAATGAAGACAGTAACACCTGTAAATCTTACCCAGGGTGTATATATTGTGTTAGAAAGTGTTGTTACATTAACAGTAATATTCTACAAATGAAATGTTTGCTGAGATTGAAAGCAAATGATGACCTGATGACCCCGAAAAATGATATTGCCTGAACTGAAAAAACAGGGAAGCTGTGTGGAAGGGCTACACTATCAGTTGTTTAGGCAAAATGTGACCTGCTAATCTGAACATATATGATTGGAATAACAAGGTACTTTATTGAGAATAAATTTGAGAAGTATTGCTGATTTGTGAAAAGACACAGCATTATGAAAATCTACTTTTCATGAAATTTTCGATTTTATGGTATCAGAAAAACATTATTGCAAGCAGATTTACTTCATGTCAGAATTAACACTTTTCTGAACTATTCAGTTGCAGATTGAAACATATTTGCTGCTGCAGCAGCATACTGAAACAACCTAACATCTGGTGCAAGGGTGGAATGCAGAGTTGACTATAGTAGCATTAATAAAATGCCTACTCCGACAGAAATGTACAATATATTGTTTAAGCAAATAATTATTTCCAGGTTAATTCTATTAAGAGTATTTTGGGGGGGGGGAATATAAACACAGAAAACACTTATGGGAACATGTGGTACCATACTCTTGCTATGTTGGTAGCTTCTCTTCAGAAAAAAACTTAACATTTCTGAGATGGCTCATCAACTGCCCACGATCACTGTCAACTCATTTGCTCTCAGCTACCTAAAACTGTTTTTTAAAAAACCACAAGGATATGTTTCTTTAGTTCTTGGCCAGGGAGATAACACCTGAGAACTAAATTTTGAGTCACCTGTAACAATATGAATGACGATACTGTATTTTTCGCCCCATAGGACGCACCTAGGGTTTTTTGGGGGGGGGAAATAAAGGGTAAAAATTTTATTCCCCCCCCCAGGCGTGGGGGCTGGCGCGGGGGAAGCCTGAGCTTCCCCCGACCCCAGCCCCCAGAACAGGCTGCCGCCCCAAGCCTTGCGCGCCCGACGGGACCTCCTACAGGGCGCGCAAGGCTTGCGGACATCTGCCCGAAGCAGGGGGCGGGCTCCGCAGCTGGCCCCCTGCTTCGGGCTGCAGGCTGCCGCCCCAAGCCTTGCGCGCCTGGCGGGACCTCCCGCCGGGCACGTGAGGCTTGCGGATAGCTTCCTGAAGCCTGGAGAGCGAGAGGGGTCGGTGCGCACCGATGCCTCTCACTCTCCAGGCTTCAGCGAAAGCCTGCATTCGCCCCATAGGACGCACACACATTTCCCCTTCATTTCTGGAGGGGGGAAAGTGCGTCCTATAGGGCGAAAAATACGGTAATTGGGAGGACTCATTCTCATCCTAGAATACATAAAATGTGTGGTTGTACAGGTAAATGTAAATCCTTAAGTTTCTATTCTGTTGCTATGTTAATATTCGAAAGCCTAGGTACAGAATGTCAAACAAGCTGATGAGTCTTAGCACTCTGCAATGGCTCCTCCCTCCACCTTTTGGATTAACAATGTCAAGCAATGTCTACTAGCAATGTGTACTGGCCCTTGCAATATCAGAGAAGCAATAAACGAAATTGATGCTGAAAGAGCCTAGCAGGAAAAAAGATGAAAAGCTACTGTTCTGGAGGAGACTTCTGAAACATACCAGCCTTACACAGTTAATAAGAGAGAAATCAGAAGACAAATCACCAAGTACAATAAATTAAACAGTATGTATATAACAATCCTTTCAACAGGATATAAATTAGAGGAGACAGAAGCATTCAATGAATGAAAACGTGTGGTGCCAAAGGAATGGTGATTTCTGGGGAAATCTTTCTAAATCAAGAATTCTCCCAGTCTGCTACATCATAGTTATAAATACAAAAATCTTGACAATAAGGAACAAATTTTCCAGCCAAACAGCTTTCCCTATTCTCTTAGGCAAGTGTGCTAACAGGAGGTGTAGATTAGACCTTGTCGAGAGAAAAGGTTGGCTTCACCATCTAAACATATAAAGAGTAACTGTAAGGTTCCAAAATGTTTATGATGGTGTACAAGAGGAAAAGCTTGATTTATTGACATAAATAAAACTCATCTTTTTGAAATTATCCACTGAAACATTAACAAGATTTGAACAAAAAAATAATTAACTGTCGTGTTAGGTTTTTTTCACCTTAGTAACTTAGAGCTTAAATTTGCTCAAAAGCAAAGTTAGCCAGTCAATTAATAATGGGGGAAATGGGCTACATTACCAATTTTAATAGCTTTCCCAATTTGCATCTCATGTGTTATTTCTGGCTACATTAAACTGGGAAAGAAAAATATTCTATCAGGTTACACTAGGGTCCTCACCAGGAGGGACATTAAAAATAAATCACTAATATACTAGCAGCATTAAAGTCCTGGTCCTGATATGCACGCACACAAAAAACAAAACCCCACAGGGAAGCTGCAGTTTCTAGGAGATGCCTTTAAATCATTGCAATTCAGCCTCTATGTTTCATGTAGAAATATCCCAGTCTAACCAAGCTTAGAACATAATTTTTAAGTTAAACTTGATCTCTTTTCTTGATAGCCTGCCTTTTCCAGAGGTTCTTACTGTAAAAAAAAAAAACCTTTCCTATTACCAGTATTCGTGTTTGTTTTACAAGATTCTGTTCCCATGTATCAAAGGAATGACGAAGACAGAAATGTCATCTCCTGAGCCCAGTCTGTCATTGGATATCCTCCAGCCTCTGTCTTTCAGCACTCCTCTGGCTCGCATTACCAAATCCTGAGCTGCTAATGTGTACCTGCATGAAGAAGAAACAGTCACAGATTATAGATGTTGTATAATAGTAAAGGTTTATTACTTGCTGGGCAAGGAACGCATTCCATATATCCTCTCAAAAAGTATAAGATTTGAAGTGCAGGATTTGTGCTTCTTTTTTACAGACCAGTCAAAACTGAAAAGCCTGCCCAGCCACTCTGCTTGTATGGCTGTCTTTTTCCAACCCAGTCGTCCAGAACACCTGGAGAGCACATCATCAGCCTCAACCAGCATGGCTAATGTTCAAGGAGGATAGGAGTCATATTCCAGAAAATGTAGAGAGCACTAAGTTGGGGAAGGCTGCAATACAGATTGTTTTACAATGGTGCAGGAAGGATACCTGATCGTGTGGAAGAACCTGACAGTGTAAACCCACTTTTAGTTGGATAGAAAAGGATAACTGCACATGTCAAGCACAGTTGCTATGAACAGCCACACTGCCCCAACATTTGATTTGTGCACAGTGGTAGAACTTGCAGCAGTCTAAAACAGTAAACCTGAGTGATTAAGAGGCTTTAACCATTCCTTCTTCCAAAGTCCTATCCATATCAGAGATCATAACTATTTTATCAAGCTTTAGCATTTTTGTAAGAACGTTTGAGGAAGGGGCATACAGTAGCTCAGTAGTAGAGCACATCCTTTACATGTGGCAGATGGTCCTAGGTTCTTGAGGTAAACATGTCCAGGGTGGATATACAAAGGCTCCCTGGAAAACTGCTGCCAGTGTATACAACAGTGAGCAAAAGGAACCAGTGGCCTGACGGTGATGGAAGGTGGTTTTCTAAGTTCTTAAGAAATAAGTTGGGAGAGGAGTTGTGGTTGATCTTTTTAGATGTATGTGGAAAATGTTCAATTTGTTTACTTTTTGATGAGTTTTATTTATTGTTTATGACTACTTTTGTTATGTTTGTAATTACAGACATTTTTTCATGTTGTAAGCTGCCTTGAGCATGATTTTAACTATGGAAAGGTGACATACAAATAAAATGATAAATAGATGAATGAGACCCATGATAGATCTCTTTCTCTTTCTCTAGTGTATGCAATCAGCCATGCAGAAAGCCAAATTGCATCAGGATCTCATCGCTGAGAGATGTTTCTCTTTGTGCCATGGGTCTTAATAGAAAGATGTCTGACATTACTCTATGGGCAGGGGTTGATTATACTTTTGTACCATGTATGGAAGATTCTTATTGTCTGCTGGATATTCTCTCCTTTTCAGTAAGAAACTGACAGAAATCCTGTAGAAATTTGCAGTCAATAGCAGAAGAACCTAGGGATCATCAATACTGGACAAAGCAATTAAAACAGATACATATATATCAGACACTAAGATCCACAACTTGTAATGACTTAAGGTAGAACTGCTGTATTTCAAGGTAAAAGCATATTATCTTCATATTCCTTAAAATAATTTAAGGGGGGGGTTGAACTGAATTATATTACTATTATGTGTCTCCCATCTGACTGGTTTGCTCCAGACACTCTGGCTGGCTTCCAGCAGAAAATAAAAACACAATAAAACATCAAACATTAAAAACTTCCCTATACAAGGCTGCCTTCAGATGTCTTCTAAAAGCCATATAGTTGTTTATCTGTTTGATACCTGATGGGAGGGCGTTCTACAAGGTGGACACCACTGAGAAGGCCCTCTTGCCTGGTTCCTTGTAACTTCCCTTCTTGCAATGAGGGAATCACCAGAAGGCCCTCATAGCTGGATCTCCATGCTAGGCCTGAATGATGTGGGTGGAAATACTGCTTCAGGTATATACAGCCATGGCCATTTAGGTCATTAAAGGCCAGTACCAACACTCTGAATTGTGCTTGGAAACATACTGGGAGCCAATGTAGAGGCTTTAGAACTGGTGTTATATGGTCCCGGCAGCCACTCCCACTCACCAGCCTAACTGCCAAATAAGCATTAATTCAGGAAAATCAATGCTAAACATAAGGAAAGCAAGCAGTGGCAACAGGAAAACACACTATACGTAACTGGAATAAAAGGGAGGCTGCCCCTTCTTAGTAACAGATAAATGAGAGAGCATTTCAGGAACTTGGAGATTAATATCGCTAGCAGTGCATTACTGAATGCTTTATTCACTAATGTAGCAAATTTGGAATGCAACTGTCAAGGCAACTTTACAAAACTGCTGAAGTAGTTTTCAAGCAACTCATTCTCCTTAGGACCTAATTGGAATAAAGCTTTTCAGAACGTGCATTTGTTCCTGCTGAAGCTTCTAATATTGATCAGTGGAAGCACTGCAAAGGCAACAAAACACATTCCTGGCAAGCAGTCTGAATCTGAAAAGCACCTTGCTAAGGAAATATAAAAGGGAGAGATTACAAACCTGTGGGGGTCATCAGGGTCACAGTTTGGCAGGAAATTAGTGACCGCTTCTGCCACTTCTTCATTTAATAGTACATCCCAGAGTCCATCTGTTGCCAAGATCAACACATCATCAGGTCCATGCTCATACTGGAGAAGATCATATACCCTCACCTGAAAAACAAACAAACCCATTAGGTGAAGGAGAAACAAGGGTTTGCTTTTGTGGCTGTCCTTCTAATCAATGTATGTTTCTGCTATCCAAAAAATCTACTTGTTTCCCTAACAGTTAAGATCAAATGTGGCCACGTGTACAGTCCTACACATTTAAGTGGAGATTCTTACCTACTTAGAACAGACCACTTTCTGAAGGGGGACTCCGGTGAGTTGCATCAGCATTATGCCTGAGTGCTGCTTTCTCTCGCTTTACAGTCACCTCTAAGTCAATACTTTGAGCCTCATCAAGTAGTACAGGAAATCACTTGGCATCTTATTTATTTTAAAAGAGACCTAGCTGATCTGGAAGCTTTGGAAGGTTCAAGGCAGGATCTGCTAATGCAGCATTCAGCCTGCAAACATGTTAGGCAGGAATACCATTACAGACCATTCCAGTCCATTTTAGTCTGCAGCAGCAGCTTTTCACTAAGCTCCCACCTCTATAAAGGCAAAACACTGGGGAAACATGTACGGTTCAGCTGCATGACAATCGAGAGAAGGTGACATGCCCTAGTCTGACAAACCAACCTGAAGCTGATCTATGTATGTGACGTTCAGGATATTCTCAAATGTTTTGTCAGAAATGGAACTAACAGAAAACTCACATACCTGAGTATTTCTCATAGTCCTGCATGCTGATAAAAAACTTTACAAAATAAATGTTCACTTACAGCCTGCTGAGTATGGCATCTAAAATATACTCCTTGGCTGCACTGATAGATTTTATTGAACCAGCATAAGGATAAAGGTCATTTTATGTATTTCCAAGTGTGTCTGCTGTGAGAGATACAGGTCTTCTAGCTGCCTGCTTCATACTCCCCATTGTCAAACCACCTGGCTCCTTGAAGTCCAAAAACAAAACCTTCAGGAGTCCTTCTGAATTACTAACAGAGCACTTTAATTACTCCAGCAGTAGCTGTATTTTCAGAGAAGTGAAGTGACCTTGTGACAACTGACAAAAGGAAGTTATTATCTGGACTAGGATTTGGAAACAGCACACCTGGCTGGGAATGCTGATTCATCCTTACGGCTGGCAGGGTCAGTGCTCTACGGTTGTGTTGGGAAACACACTTGGCATTGCTGGAAGAGAATCATTTATCCTCTCTTTGTGTTGTGCTAATCTTTGAAATCCAGGATTAGGAAATGTATATGGAGTAATGTAGTTAGATCCCAGTGCAAACATTCAATATTCCCTTTAACTAATGGAGAGACTTGGATTTTAAAAAATGAGATATATCATTTACTAAGGTGGAAGATGCGATTAAGGACTTAGAAACTGATGAGCTAGACACACAATTGCTCATTCCTCATTCAAAGTGTCAAAAATAAATCCCAAAGTTGTCAAGTCCACTGCAGAGGAACATAACTCACACCCTCTAGACACCAACGAAGTGTTACACGACCAGAGACCTATAACGCAGCACAAAGTATCCATGCTCATGCCCCCACTTCTAATTAGCTAAAAGCAAGAAGATATACACAATGCATCTCTTTCATACAACAAATAGATCTCCCTCCTATTAAAATGTGTATCAGAACAAACAACAGAATATATAGTGGCTTCTCCTTGTTTATAGCAATGTAGCCTTCAAAAATATGGTTAAATCTATACAATGAACACAGAGGCTGTATGTCAACACTTAACCTTTTCTTGCTTGCTTGCTTGCTTTAAATATGTATTTCTTTTCAGAGAAAAAAAGCCAACAAACAGCAAGTTGAAAGGCAAGAACCAGATAAACATCCCCCAACCCCAGAATGGCAGAGCCAGCTTCCATATTTAGTGATTGTAATCCCACAGCTTTTCAGAAGTGCCAGTCACAGTGCCAATATCCAACCAAGTCATTTCTTCCTAATTAAATATGATGTGTGGGTTGGGTGGGCTGGATGGAGAGCTAAGACAGCTAATGATGGAATAAATGTGGCACATTTGAGAAACAAAGTTTGCTCTCAGTGCCCATCAGCTGACCGATGCTGAATGTAAGCCCTCTGAAGGCACATGGTCAGCTGATTGGATCTGAGAGCATGCCTGCAAAGGGTCTCACTGGATTCATTACAACTGCAAAAATGGACATTTTCTTTTCACTGCAGATTGGTACCTGAGTCCAAGCTACTCCCACAAATGGGCACCTTCAAAGGGGCTTGTTGTCCTTGTCAATCAGCTGAGCCCTGGCTACCAAGGAAGACTCAACAATACCTACCCCCCACAACATGTCAGTTGTGGAGCATGTGGGGTATTGGGGGGGGAGGAAACGGCCTCATGGGCCAAATTAGGCCTATGGACTGGAGGTTCCCAACCACTGCACTATGTGTTCCATCACTGAGCACTCCTCATTTTTTGCTTTATGGTACAGCACCCAGCTAGAAACAAGAGCAGCCCCATCTTGATACACTCTCCTTTAATCTACACCCAGGTAGAAAATGTTCCAATTACTTCAGACTCAACTAGCCACAAAATATTCTCATTCTTATCCTTGAAATCCTTGTCGTTCTTCTGGGTCTCCTTCCCTAAGAAATAGTCATATATTTTATGAAAGTGATGGCCTGAAGCATGGAAAACAGTTACCTTGGGAGTTATTCTGGGCTTAAGAGTTTTGTGTGAAGATGTCCTAAATGACAGAAAATGTGTTTTGAAAGCTTCACCAGGTTCAAAGCACAACATGCAACACTCCTGATATGACCCATTTTTCACTATGGAATTCAAGAGAAACAGTCAACATAAGCAATCCTTGGCTACTTTACAACTGATCAACAGAGCTACTTAAATAAAATAAATCCTCTCTTAATTGCATTTTTCCTTCTCATCTAACTCACTGACAAACATAGAAATACAATCCAAATGATTTATATGTAACTTTTAAAGTCTGATACTCAGCTTTATTATCTGCTATACTCGCCAATTAACCCCCTCCCCCCTTCAGGGTTTGCTTTTAAAAAATAAGACACCCACCAAACAGCTCCTCTATGTTTCCTGCCCTGTAGTCAATTTCCAGAACAGAGTGCCAAATGTCCACTTTATGGTTCTATAACTTTTATACTAATGTTTGTCAAATGTGTTTTATGGGCTTTCTAAATCCCTCTAGACAGCTATAAATTTAACATACATCCTCTAGCCATATTTGGCTGCAATCCTAAACTCACTTACTTGGGAGTGAGCCCCACTGAACAAAGGGACTTACTTTTGAGTAAACATGCATAGAATCGTACTCTTAGACAGGGGAATGAGTTTTGACCATCTTTTCCGTAAGCCACAGCCATGTTCCCTATTTAAGGTGTTCATTGCAGCCATTTTTCATGTGGACACCTAAACATTTCACAAGCAGATTAAGACACGTTGCAAACATTTTTAAAGCCATAGTTTAGGTCCCTTGTCCTGTTCCTATAAAAAAGTGTGAATGTGTTACCTCTGGCGACGAGGACAAAAAAGGTTTGATGTAGATGTTTGAGTCATGCACCTTCAAGTCATGGTCTCCAAGTCCTCTCGTAACCCCAATAGTTGCCATGACACGAGCCTGGAAACAGAGAAAGAAACCAGTTATAGCGCTGTTCTGGGAGGCAGGTGTCTATGTGAAAGCTGTTACCAGCAACTGCACCAATAAATCCTACTCAAAAGCTCACTTCACATGTTTGCTTGACTGCATGAAGGGGCAAGTAGGAACATATGAAGAAGTCACACCCCACCTAGATTATTTATATGCTGGATATCCTCCCCAACAAACACATGATCAGCATTTGTTGGGTGGGGGGTTGCTATCGTACTCCTACATAGAGTTTCCAACATGGCATATTCAGGGTTCCTGTCCCATGCTGGAAAGCCTACACCCAAGGAAGACAACCCCCTTGAGTCTAATCTTGTGTTGGCTGGGGAGTGTGCCCACCACAAAAAGGCAACTGGCATGTGAGCCAAAGCAGGTAGAAAGCTGTTCTCATCACCACAGCCACCAGTACAAAGGTGTGCTAGTCACCACTGCCATCCAATCGTACAGAAGCAGTGCTGGATCAAGGAGTGGCCTCAAGCTGCAAACCAGTGTCTTCAGGGCGACGGCAACCCCATCCAAGACAGCCTGCATTCCAGACCCTGAAATATGTGGTTACATTTCAAGAGCCCATATCCTGTCATGAGTCAAAGCCTATACAGTGGTACCTCGGGTTAAGAACTTAATTCGTTCTGGAGGTCCGTTCTTAACCTGAAACTGTTCTTAACCCAAGGTACCACTGTATTACCAAGCAAGTTGAGGGAATGTTGCCCAAGACTGATCACCTGAGACCTGCAGTAATTGCACACATTCAAGTAAATGACTGCAGTTATAACATGTGTGACAGATCATATAAACTCACCTACAGGGCATAACCTGTACCCTTCTTTCATTATACAAAAAACTTTGGGGAGGTTTTTGGCCTAAAATAGAGGCAACAGTTCTTTACAAAACAATGAACACAACAACAAATACCTAGCAAGAAAACTCTTGGGACAGCCTGCTGCTCCCAAAAGTTGACTACAACTATAACCATCACTGACCACTAGCCATGTTTGATGGGGCTAATGGAAGTTGTAGGGCAGAAGGTTGGGGAAGCCCATCACAGATCAAATGTCCTCTACCAACCCGCCCCCCTTTCTGACATCTTTGCATCAGCCCTGGGATCCCTTAGCAAAAGAGTAGGATTCTTGAGACAGCTTATGGTGCAGATACATCATTTTACTGATGGTACTGGTTTACTGACAATACTGGACACTCTCAATTCTGGCTCTAAAATACACTGCAAAGTAAACCCACTAAGCCCAAACACAAAAATAGGGAGAAAAATAAATTTAGAAGTAGCAGGTGTGCAAATACTTCTGAAAACAAACCAGCCCATCAAATCGTACAGATACACCACATCAGGTTTGAGTCCTGCATAGCTAGATTAATTCTGAAGATAGGCTATTAAAACAAAAATCAAATAAGCAATAAAGCCATTGGGAAAGAGTTGCTTAGAAACAGTGTGAGCACACCAATGCCAATAATCTAAGACTTCAGTGCCCTTTTATTGATCCTAGAGTTGTATCTCTCAGGCATGCTGGGATCAGTGCAAATAACCTTGCTGTTTTTAATTATGCATCTCTTTCAAGAGCATTCTCAGTCTTTCCACACACACCCCTCTCCTGAAAGAGAATTTTATTCCTAAGCTTGAACCGAGCAGTGAATGCAGCTAAGAACACATACACAAAATAAATTCATGCACCAAAAGAGTTCAGTCTTGCTTGATCCCAATACACTAAGATTGTGCTCAAAACTAACTAAACAAACATTACATCTTTTGTCTTTTCCCAGCTTTTATTGGTTCACATTTAATGTAGTGGTCAAGCTGCAGTGAGCTGTCTGCAAATCAAATAAATAAATAGTTTATTTTCAAAAAGCCTCTCTCAGTCCCGATTGCTTGAAAGAAAACAAAATAATTAAGTGGGTGAAAAAAGAAAATTCATCTGTAACTGTTATTAAACCTCTTTCACACACCCCCCCCCCCCTAGACTGCATTTTCCCCCTTACAGACAGCAGGAACTGATTTACGGCAGGCACAATATTCTTTCAAGCTGTCAGAACGATAAAATAAAAAGATAGCAAGTGGAAAACGTTGGACTGCTTGAGGCTAAATTGAGTGGTAAACAGTTATAAGGCACCATATTCCTTTGAAATGGCAAAACACTGATTCCTACCTTCTTGCCTTCTCCATATATAAGAGGAAACTTCAAGTCATCCTCTTCAATGGTTTTGTATGCCCTGTGGGAAGATAAACAGCATTTTATAAAGCTTGCACTCAATTATTGACCCAATGCCCTGACACTAGGTGACTGTTTGCTTGTTATTTCTTTTTCTCCACAAGTTTGTCTAGGCTCCAACTTTACAATGCATTCCAAATTTCTCTCTCTCTTCATACTACACCTGCTGGGTGGTACCATTTTTGCAAAAGAAAAAGTTAAGCAAAGAACATAATGTAATTTTATAAACAAGCCCTACCTTCTCATTTTAATAACAGATGGGAAAGTAAGTTGGGAAAACATCCCAATTACTAGAAGTGTGGGCCACAATGTCCACCAAACAACAACACAAATCCATTAAAAAATGGAATCTCATTATTAATTGGTAGCTGTGAGAAACAGCAGGGTTTGTATATAAAGAATGGCATAAACCAGCTCTTTAAAAAAAAATCCATCAGAAGCTAAATACATAAAGGAAAGCTTGAAGTTTGATGTACCTTTCATCAGGTTATTTAATGCTCATCTGACCTTGACTATGACATTCAAACTTGCCAAAAATTCTCAGTGCCAGGATCCCCTACACCTTCCAAATAATTACTGGTAAGGCAATATGGAAAGAAGCTCACTGTTGGAATGAATACGCCAGACACTTGTAGGTTGATTGGCCTATATGGGTGCTTATACCTGCTGCATGTGCCCTGAGAAGCTGTAAATGACCCAAGGGTCCACTATATACATGGAGAGTTTACTGCATACTATTGTTTTGTGCACAATTGCTTTCTACATGGGGAGTGCCCTTGCCCAGGGTGGTAAGAAGCCACCCTGAGAGAAATACAAATAGGCAGTTCTGCTCTGCTTGTATTTCATAGAATCACAGAATTGTAGAGTTGGAAGGGACCCTGAGGATCATCTGGTCCAACCGCCTGCAATGCAGGAATCTCAGCTAAAGCATCCATGACAGATGGCCATCCAACCTCTGCTTTAAAATCTCCCAGGAAGGAGAGTCCACCACCTCCTGAGGGAGTCCCACAACCACTATTGTTTCTCTGGACACTGAGGGATGAGCATTTAGGGTTCTGTTAGTGAGACCCAGGAAAGCACAGAAGTCTACAGCTGGTGACTAAGATTATGTGCCATTGCAAATAGATTTGAGCATGAAGATTCTGAAATACAAGATTTTCATGGACCTGGCCATTGAATAATAAACTTGGGGAGGGGTCCTGCTTTTTAACCTTGGCTAATGGTTTATTGTTCTGGGACATGGACAAAACTGGACCTGTCAAAGAAGAGGAAGCAGCTCTTTTTCTAGCTGACAGGCTAGCAATTGTTGAAAGGGACTCAAAAATAAGCTGTGAAAAACTGTTTGATACACCTGCCCAGTCTCCCTCTCCCACCACACCATACACCCCATTTTTATTTTACAGTGCACACACATCTGGGCAATTTCGCTTGACAGTAAAGCAATAAAACTATGTTTATGCTGTCCATGTCACTTATAGGCAGAGCACAGTGTGTTAAATATGCTGTGCCACTGCTGTCATCCCACAAACCCAGACAGAGAGAAAGAGAGAATAGAGGAAGCTCCTTTTTAAAGCATGCCAGCATGACAACTCTGGAGAGATCCGTTTAATCCAACAGCACCAAACAATAAAATCGCAGCTAAGTGGCAGCTCCACTGCCTTTGAGAGAAATCAACGGCTGCCAAAGCATGACGGAAACTGTAGTAAAGGTGAGGCTGCAATATGGCCTTGAGCCTAACATTCTCTCGGCACCAGATCACGTCAGAATGGCTTTGAAAAGCAAATGCAGGATTGTATATTCTAAAGGCTGTACTTTCGAAAGTTGCTGCTGCTTCCTTCCATCTCACCACCCGCATGGCATTTGTGAAGGCCTCTTGCACTCGACAGGAGCGCTCATTAAAGGGTAAGCGTGTGTGCAGGCTGGCAGTTGGATACAAATTGAAAACGAAAATAGCATTCAACATTTACAAAAGGAAGGCCGGAAAAACAACAACACGCATAGCAGTAGCTTGGTACCCCTTCCACAAAAAAACACCTGGGAGTGGCCCAGTAGCACCACCAATTGGCCTTGTCCCATTCTAACTCCACAGAAACCTAACATAGACTATGTTGTAGTTTTTCTCCCCTTTTGACAAACTGTCCCTACAAGGTTTTTAATTCAGTGATGGGCATTTACCTCCCCACACTTTTTTTTCCACACCCATGCTTTCACACAGACACCATCTCTTAATTTGGAGGAAGAACAACATGGACGTCACTCAATTGTTACACTAAACAGGTATGTATCTTTTGCTCTATTCTGGTGTTACAAAAATGCACACAGGCTTAAACTGAGGTGCAGAAATGTCCGATCCACCTCCAACTTTCTGCACTGAGAAGGAGGGTCTGAAGAAGGCATGTGGGTACATTCAGTTTAACAGCTTTGCAAGATTCCCTGAAATCGGGAATGCTGTCGTAAGGTTCAGCCGAATCAATTTCCAAGCTCTTTTCAGGCCTTTTAGGATGGCTTGGGGTGGGGCGGACATACCTGGAACATACGAGAACACAGGTGGGGGGAGAGCTTAAAGGTGCATGTTCCTACGCCCCAGTTTAAGCCCCACACACCTTCTTTTAAATGCCTGAATGTGCCACTGACTGGAAATCCTATTTTCTTCATATCTTGTTATGCCTTTTAAGGACAACAAACAACAAAACAAAACAACGACATAGTGTGAACATACTCAAAAAGGGCAGGGCTGGAATTGCTGGGGCCTGTTCCAAATATATAGCTTAAAGGCCAGTGTCAGGATTTTACCTCTATTATGGATACACAGGAAATACAGGCATTTCCAGACAATCCTGCTAAGGACATGGCAATTTTTTGAACAGCATTAGGTAGGGAGTAGGATGTAGCATAATGATTTACTGTCCCAAATTAGAACTGCCTAGCTGGACCAGGCTGAAGGGGTCTAACTAGCACAATGGTTCGCTTCCAATAGTGCTCAGCTGGGTATCCCTGGGAAGCTGGTAATCCTGACAAGCAGGTCACAAAGGAGACATCCATCTCCTCTTCCTGACAATAAATTCTTCCTTTTGTTCTTTGCCTAATGACCAACAGCTCATTGAAAGTCCCAATTCTCTATGAACTTGCCTAACATTCTTACAAGCTAGGTCCCATCAAGTCTTACAGGATTATAGATGATATTTGACAAAGTCATACATTGAGTACATTCAATGTAATCACTGTATGTTAAAGTTAATTTCAATGGGTTTATTTCATTTGTTAGATTTCTTGCCCACCATAACTTTCCCAGGCAGGCTACGATATCAAAAACAATACAAACTGAAACAAAACCAAACATCAATACCAAACAACCACTGAAATAAGATGCAACTTCAGGAAGGTCGTATAAAAATACTTTTGAGTTGTCACAAGACCAGGTGAAGAGGTATGTCTTTAGCACGTGCCAAAAGTTGAGTAACAACAATGCCTGATGCACTTCTATGGGGAGGGAGTTCCACAATTTTGGAGCTACCACAGAGAAAGCCCTCTTCCCAGGCCGCTGACCCTTCTATTGCCCAGATTGGTCTGTAGGGATGGAGGACATCTTTCAGATATTTGGGGCCCAAGTTGCCTAGGGCTTTAAGGGCCAACATGAGCAGCTTGAACTGGACTTGGAAATAAACTGGCAGCCAGTGCAACTGCTTTAAAACAGTTGGGCTGCTATTACGTTCTCAAGCACCTTTCCCCAAAAGGGTCATTTAGGTGGCAGTTGTTAAACAATTTTGGGTCCAAGGAGATCCTCTTAATAAGTGGGCACACCACCACCTTCTCCAAGGCAGGCAGCACCTTCCCTTCTTCCAATAAAGTATTGATCACTTGCTGAACTGACCTAGTCACCCCCCTTTAGCTAGCTTTAATAAGCCAAGATGGGGAACGGTCGAGAAGATAGGTGGTCAGCCGCACCCCTGGAAGGAAGTTGTTCACTGACAATGTTCTGGACACCTCCATAGGGCTTGCTTCATCTGTGACACAGAATTCTGTGTAAATCTCAAGGATTTATCTGAAGGGCCTTCTCGGTAGTGGCACCCACCCTCCCATCAGATGTCAAGGAGTTAAATAACTATACAACTTTTAGAAGACATCTGAAGGCAGTCCTGTATAGGGAAGTTTTTCATGTTTGATGTTTTATTATGCTTTTATATTTGTTGGAAGCCGCCCAGAGTGGCTGGAGCAACCCAGTCAAATGGGTTGGTATTTCTGCCACTTGCCCTCCAGCCGCTGTACTTCCTGCTTCATCACACACAGATACCTGGAGTGCCAAAGCAACCTGAGCAGTCTGCAGGATCTGTGTGGGCACTTTTACCTGAACTACTGTAGGTTGCCTAGGGGACTATGTTATACGGAAATAAAAGTTCTTGAAGTTCATTCAAGTTTGCTATGTGTTGATTCATACATATTCAGAAGGGTGTACTCAATGCCCATGGGTAATCTATATTTATGCAAACATAAGCAAGAGGGGAAGTTCTAGTAGGCAGCTGCAAGAGGCATGAACCACCCCTTTTTAGTAAATGGCAGTGGGGAATAAATAGAGACTTGCCTCTTAACTTTTTCTCAGGGCTGCAAACAGTGATGCATTCTAAAAGGTCTGCTCTCACACTTTGCTCTCCTCCAAAGTCCCTAAGCAGCACAAGTCTCTTGCTTATGCACTGCTTCAGATTCCAAATGCAATTCCTTCCCTTGAAGAAATAAAGAAACCACAGGAGGGAAACGAGGCCACGGAAGCTGCAAAGCATCTTGTGGAAAGGCCAGGAACAGACCCACAAGGATGAAGGAGCTAAATCCAATTGCAGCTTGGTAAGAGTGAACGTGAAGGAACACTGGTTGCTTTCGTACAATGCAATGCATTCTAAGAAGGTGGTGATAAGAAAACAAGTGAAGTCTGAACACAGTGTGAAGTAAAACTGCAGGTACTAGAAGTATCCAGTACCAAAAAGAAAGAAAGAAATCCCTACAGGAAGA